CCCTTCTTTTAAAATGTTTTAACTGAATTTATTTTTGTTTTGTGTGTATGAGTGTTATGCCTGCATATACGAAAGTGCACTCATGCTGTGCAGTGCCTGCAGAGGCCAGAAGAGGGCATCGAGCCCTTGGAACTGAAGTTATAGACAGTTGTTAGCTGCCATGTGAGTGCTGGTCCTCTGCAAGAATATCTAGGATTCTTAACTGCTGAGCCACCTCTCCAGCCCCATGGTTTTCTTCTTAAAAACCATGCCATTCAATACTTAAGAGGAATAGATGATGCAGAGCCCAGAATGTTACTAACTCTAGTGTTATCAACATTGTAATGACAGGAAACAGAAGAAATATATATATGCCTGAGCAATTATTTTGGGTATAAATGCTCCGTTATCACACTCCAGATTCATTACAGAGGTGCAAAAGTAGAGATGACACTTTATCAACTTCTCAAAGGCTTTTGCGTCTGACAAACCAAATCAGGTTGCATCCTCATGGACTATTCTGCAGGCTCTTTTATAACATTCAGTGACCTCTGTAACTGAGGCCAAACCTGAGAAGTTCCTCAGTTCGTCCCAGAGGAGTTCCAGAAAGCATAAAAGAAAGTTTGCTCCCTGTCCAGCCATTTGCCCTTGTATTTGAGAGGTACCACATACTTGTGCACAGCACAGTGTTGTATTCATAATTGACCTAAGATTATTGCTGCGTCATTTGTCACGAACCACTTCTTCAGGTGACTGATGACCATTCTTTTATTCTGTCGGGTCCACAGGCTTTATGAATTGCTTGGGCACTCTTATGTGAGCCTCTGTGTTTCTATGTGCAGAGTCTTCTAATGCTGAAATATGTAGTGATGTTGGGATAATGTTCTTTTCTAGTTTTTCTAATTCTGACTTGTTAAACTAGTTATAAGTATTCTTTCCTTTTTGACTTTTCTTGGTAGGAATTACAGTGACCATATTGGTTCTTAAAACATTTGGTAGAATTTAGCATTGAAACCATCAGGTTCTAGGCTTCTCTTTGATGGAAGATTTCTTGTTACTGATTCTCAGCATCCATTCAACTTATCTGTTTCTTTATGGTTTTCATTTCGTCAGGAATTTTACGTTTGTGCTAGGTCAGAACATATCTTAGCATGTTGTTTTCAATAAAATATAATGATTCTTTGTATTTTCTGTGGTGATAGCTATGTTTTCCTTTTCGTCTCTAATTTTATTTGAGTTTTCTCTTTCTCTTAGCTTAGGTGTAGCTTTTGTTTGGTCAATTGTGTTTGTTTTTGAAAAACAAGCTTTTCACATTATCTGAACCATATACACAAACACAACCACAATTTATTTCTTTACATATTTTTAGTGTGTGTGTGTGTGTGTGTGTGTGTGTGTGTGTGTGTGCGTGTTTGTGTACACATGTGGGTGACATACACATGCCCATGCTATGGCGCACGTGGATTTCAGAGGAGAACTTGTGGCAGTTTTCTCCTTTCACTTTGTGGGTTCCCAGGGATCAAACCCAGATTGCAAACTTGGTAGCATGTGCTTTTCCCTGCTGAGCCAACTTGCCAGCTCTTATCTACCTCATCTATATGTGGATTTCCAATTTTCCTTGTATAATTTATTGAAAAGATTGTACCCCAGGCTTATATTTACTCTATATGTATACCCATATATGAAATATACCTGTCTTGATATGTACAGAGTATATATTTATACACATATATTTTTCCTACTGATTCTGTATTATGTTTGCTTTAGTTTTTATTGTTTCTTGAGATGCATGGAGACATTTTAGAAGTAGACATTGACTGCTGTAGATTACCCTCGTTATTTCTTTTACTCTATTCCATAGGTTTTGATTTATTGTGTTTTCATTTTATCATTTTGTTATGTGTTTTATTCACTTATCATTTTATTTGTGTGTATGTGTGTGTGTTCTTGTGTGTGTGTGTGTGTGTGTGTGTTCGTGCACATGTCACATAGTATATGGTACATGTGGAGGTGGATTTGGGGCACTGAACTCGGGTTGTCAGGCTTGGAGGCATGTGTCTTTATCCACTGAGCTATTTCACCAGCCCTATTTTGTTTTTATTTTATCTGTTTCAAGACATTTTTCATTTTCATTTTTTATTTCTTCCTTACTGCATTTATTGTTAAAGAGAAAGTTAATTTTTTCTTTTGTATTTGTGTGGTTTCTAAAATTTATCATTACTGATTTCTAGCTTTGTTGTAAGTAGAAAAGAAGATAATTGAAGTTTTTAAAATTTGCTGAGACTTGTTTTGTAACCATCATATGGTCTTTTCTGGAGAATATCCCCTAGAATGATGAAAACAATTAGTATTCTGAAGCTGCTGGGTAGAACTTTCTATGCATATCCACTAGGTCCATTTGGGCTGAGTCCAGTTTAACCCTACTGTTCTGTGCTAATTTCTTCTCTGGACTGTCTGTCTGTTGATGGGATTATTGTGTTAAAGTTCTGTAATATTATTGAATTAGAAACTGTCTCTCTCTTTAGTTGTTAATTACTTCTCTCTGTCTCTCTCTGTCTCTCTGTCTCTCTCTCTCTGTCTCTCTCTCTCTCTCTCTCTCTCTCTATATATATATATATATATATATATATATAATTCCGCTGTGCTATTGGGTAAACATAGATGTGTAATTACTTTTTCTTGCTTCATTGATACATTTGTTATTTATTATATAGTCATCTTCCTTGTTCTCTTTCACTACCTTTAGTTTAGTCTCTTGTGGAAGTAGAGCTGCTCCTGTCTTTTGGGTTCTGTTTTCATTGAGTATCTTATTCCAACCTTCACTTTCAGTCTGTGTCCTTACAGACAAAGTAGATTTCCATAAACAACATGTAGGTGGATCCTGCATTTTATCTGTCTGAATTTTTTGTCCTTTAAAAGTACTTTCAGTTACTGAATCTCTTCATTTTTTCACTGCAGACTTTTATATGTTGCTGTTTAATTCACTAACTTTCATTAATACTTGACCACCACAGCTTTTACTGACTGTGCATCTACTGTCATATTTAAGAAAGTCAGTGACATGAAGCTTTTATCTTATGTTTCCTTTAAGAGTTTTATAGTTTTAGATCAATCTTATATTTTGATCTTTGGTGTAAGGATTTCTGGTTTTTAACTGAAAGTAAATCTTAAATATCATTCTGTTGACACAGAGAATTTCATTAAACCTATAATATTAATGTGTACATGAGTCCATAAGGCACTCCTGTGGGGTCAGAGCATGTCAGCTTGCTCCCTCAGTAGCTTCTTGGCCACACCTTGAATGAAGAGTCCTGTGATACAGAAACAAAGGAGGTAGAGTTCTGGGGCTGATTGTTGGTCACAGGCAAGGAGCCATCCTTAACTAGTGGCTGGGTACGGCACTGTCAGAGTCCCAGTGGTGTCTCATCCTGACTCTTAACTTTTTCCAAGTCTGAGGATGTTCGTTCATGTATTAGTTACTGTACTGACAGAGAATTCCTTTGAGCTTCTCCAGTGAGAGATCATATTTACCATTTGTCATATTAACTAAATAAGCCACTAATTTAATCAGTGAAAAACTGTTTTAGATGTTCAGTGTGCTGAACTGTTACACTTCTCATGTTATCAAATTATATGTAACTGAAAGAGAGAGGTATAAAAAGATGAAGTGCTCAGCCAGATCTCGTGTGTGATACCTTCTGATGTGTTTCTCACTGATCCCATGTAGTCTCGTTGATCCCAGCAGATGTAGTGATTGAACATCAAGTTGAAACTCTTTCACCTTCCTGTTAAATATTTTTTTTTGAAGTGGGGTCTCCTATGTAGTCCAGGCAGGCCTCAAACTCACAGAGATTCATTTGCCTCTGCCTCCTGAATGTTGGGATTAAAAGGCATGTATCTTTTGATACTGAAGACTTCTTTATAGATTCTTCATTTATTAAATAAATTAAAAAATACGCCATCTATCTATGAGTGAACTCATTTACTTCATTGTATAATCAAGTTGTTAATTATGATTTTTTGTGGTTTTTATTAATCTCTATTATGCTTTTTGTTTTTGTTGATGTTGATCAAAAGACGTTAGGGCAAGCATCCCTAAGCAAAAAAGAAATCTAGACATGCATATATTGGACATATGTATCCTAATGTGGTTGATCATGTTATTATTCTGAAATCTTAATGATCAGTTTTCTGAAGTATTTCTAAGTCTTCAAAAGAGACATTCAGTTTGTGTCCTGTCACTAGTGCATGCATGAGCCTTCTCATTCTGTCTGGGTTATCCTGGACCACTAGAAAACCGTTTTTTCCAGTCATAAGATTCCTATATAATTTTCTTTTTATTCTTGGTAGGTTCATTTACTTTTTTATTGTAAACAGTTTCCAACCTGGACCCAAGAGAAGTTGGTTCTCTGAGCCTTTTGCTATTGAAGGCAAGAGGCAAGGGAGCTATTACTGTCCTCATTGTGCCCATGCACAGATTATGTTCTCACTTCCCCACACGTTTATAAACACTTCCTAAAGAGACATCCTTTCAGTGTGATGATGTATACCTGTAGTTGCAACTTCTGTGGAAACTGAGACAAGAGTTTACTTGAACCTATGAGATCAATGTTATACTGGGATGTAGAGAGAGACCTTGTCTGCAAAACCAAAATCAAAATAAACTCAGTGAAAACAGGCAAAGACAGAGACATCATATTCAAATGAGTTAAAGAGGTGAGGTCAGTGTCTCACATTATTAAAGTCAGGCTTATATATAATGTCTCATCCATATAAGAAAAGACTTGTATTTTACTATGGATAAGAACTTGAGATAAGGATGGCAACAAAATGAAATGGGAGTCTGAAAAAATGAGTACCATATGGTTCAATACTGAGTGATGTAAGATGCTGTTTTAATGCTTTATATGTGTATGCATATCTGTGTGGTTTTTCATAAATTGAATTTGAAACATAGCAATTGAGGCTGATTTTTATGATTGGATTGATAATATTTCCATTTAAATAATTTTTAAATATAGCAAGATCAACTTTATACCTGGGCTGCAGTTAGCCAACCCACACATTCGATGGATTACAACGAGGGGCAATTTCCCAGGAGAGCACCGCCCACGTGGCCACTTTCCAGACTTCCCGATGAAGAGCAGAGTCCCAAGGATGTTGACACAGGTAAGATATGAAACTAAAGCTCTGTGAAGTTATGTGACATAATGTGTAATCGCAATGCTTGCTGGGTAGTACGCCTCCACTTTTCTTATGGGCATTTAAAAATTATCATCTGCAGGTAACCCTATTAAAATCAGTGAGGATGTTGGGACATTGAAGGTGCTTATGCCCATATTCAAAGTTGACTACTTGGAATGTAGGCGAATAGGATACTGGGATTCGCCAGTAATTTCTGTGCTGACTGAAGTTTGAGAACCACTACCTATAGACATCCAGCTGAAGCCACCACCAGGTTGAGGCGCCACATGCTTCGGGGTTAGGAGAGCCCTATAGTGACATTCTGTTTTCTTCAAAGGATGGGGCCTCTTCCCTCTGAACTTCTTCATGAATAACTTTCTTTAATTCGATTTTTTTAACCTGTTGAGACAATGGGGAGATGAAAACAGGGATGCAGATTTTAGTAAATCTCACTTTTAAAAAACGTATAGTATTCAGACATAATGTATTTTTATCCCTTTTTATTTTTCCCTTTCTTTTCTCTTTATTGCCTTAAACTAGATTTATCTTTTATTTGTTGGGAAGATAATATGATTTTAGTATCAGTGTTAATAGGAGGATCTGGAATGACCATTACCAAACAGAATCAAGGTTCTGTGGGGCTAACCAATAATAAGTATCTCCCGACATAGGAGTGAAAGGAAAACTGAGCAGCATCATTTCTATTTAGATATCTCTCCATACCAGATTCTTTTAAATGATAGCGTGAGTTTCGGAGTTGAGAATTGTGGCCACCTGCATAGTCTAAGAGAAAGCATGATAACCATGACAGCTTAATTTGGACCTGCTGTGAATAAGCATCATATAAGACTGTGAATCTGGGGCTCTTCACTACATCAGCTTTGTAATCATAGGCAGATTTCCAAACAACTGCATTGAAATGCTAATGAGAGTATCATCCACTTCATAGTGCAGTTGTGAGTAAGTATTATGTAACTCCATGCAGAACACTGGTGTGCAGAATGGAGCCCAGGATTAATGGAAGTGTTTGCTCCTGTAATTTCTGTTACCATTAAAGTTATTTCATGTCACTATCTTCTTGATGAATTTTCTTTAAAAACAACAACCCAATGTCAACAGTTTACCAGACTTCTGCCCAAACTTTTGCATAGTGAACCCAACTTCTTGTTTTTATCCAAGTATCTTGGGTAATAGTCATTTCTTTTCTCTAGCAGGCACCAAATGGGATTCTATGCAGGATTCTGAATTTCACTTTTTATTAATTAATTGTTTTGAGATGGGGTCTTGTTATGACACACTTCTGGCCCAGAACTCACTATGTACACCAGGCTGACCTCACAGATAACCACCTGCCTCTTCTGTTGTGTCTAAAGTATACCACTATGCCCATCCATCCCTTTATAAATGTCCTGTGTTTGGAAAATTTGCTTAACATTCACTAGATGAAATATGAACCATAAAGTAAACCACAAGTGAAAGTATATACCGAATTTGTTCCATGTAAGATTCTGTGTCTCAGAACACTAATGTAGAACATTTGATATGAGATCCAGTTAGACTTCCTTGAATCAAAGATCTACAAAGATGAGGTTTAACATGATAGCATCTATAGATAAAACAACTGAGTAGAAATACTTTTAGTTTTAAAACGAAAGCACTCAAGTATAGACGCTTTGATCCTGTTATATGTGGTATCATATTTACATTAAAATGGTATTGGTTTGAAATTCATAAGCACAGATGTAGTACAACTAAGCAATTTCAGGGCCCTTTTGAATAATAGTTTTTAATCCTATGTCTGCATCACTGATTGACATGATATTTTATTTTTTTTCTACTGTGTGTTTCTCACCTTTTTTGATCAAAACACATATATCATGCATAACATTTTGGGACACTTAAAAATTATAAAACTTTGTTACCCTTTACATATGCTGAAGGAATACTTGCAGGAGAATGGATTGAAAATGATCACCTGAACTTTAGTTTGATGAAAATGCTAGTAAGCTCATGGCAGGGAGTTGGAAATTCAGCTTTTCTTCCTTGTTTGATATAGCTTTTAAAATGAAGAGCCAGTAATTTTTAAAACAATAACTTTTCTCCTTTTAAAATATGCATTCATGAAGAGGATGACAGAGGTAAGTAGAAAATAATTTAAATGAGCAATTTGTTTTTCTTCAATTGATCTGTTCTCTACCCCAATAACCATACCATTCTTTTGTACAAAGTAAACTAAAGTTTTCCTGGACTTTTCTCCCTCTCACTCCCTGACATTCATTTGGAAAGACAGTTACAGGGAACCTTGTCATTTGCAAGGAATCATACCACCTTCTCTCCTCTTGTCAGTCAATTGTAGAGTGAGAGATCAGTATCACTGAAAACCCCTATAGACTAATTTTATATCAATTGCAGATTTTGAAAATAGGATTATTATTGTTTTAAACTATTTATGTATACCTAGTAAAGTTACAAACTATCGTGTAGTGACATCAGGGTTAAAATAGTTAAGTGCAACATGTAGCTCCTTTCAGTTTTAAAGATAATGGCTTTTGTTTATCTTTGTGAAGAAGATAGTCTTGCAAGTCCATCTTTGAAAACCAAGATATTTTCTTGGGCATCTTTTTTTTCCACTTCTTTAAAAATGCTTAGCAGAATAAAAAGATGTTTTATTTCTCTAAAGGATAAGGTTGTCTTGCAGGTTCAGATTGTAATTGCTTATATCAGTGTACTTTTTCTCAATGTCTGTTATGCCTCAATAAAGATGTTTCTTCATCAAAAAAAAAGATGACTAATGATTTACATATCCAGCAAATTCAGATTTATGATCCTGCCTCTTCTGAAATTTTTAAAGTACATTACTTGTTCCATGGTCATTACTGTAAATGAATCTCCCCTCACTTCATCTGTCTGCCAAAATACTGGCATTACTTTATATGAATTTTCAGAGCCCAAGATGAAGTCTTGATGCCCCTTTTCATCCGTGAAAGGCCCTAAGTAACTTTGAATCTTCTGCTTCATTTCTGTTTCTTGTGTTTGTGTTGGAAATCTCCACAAATGGGCCTAATATGTATAAACATACCTTGTGACGTGTGCAGAAAGCATCATAAAATCACTAATTTTGGCTGGAAAAGGAGTTAGGGTATGGTGTGCTCCATTGCTGTTGGTAATGGAAGCATGTTAGCATGAAAACTTTCTGTACCTTATCTTGCCTTCCCATCTCTCTTTTCATTCCCCTTTAGTCACTGTTATGTTTTCTTCCATAGTTCACTTAAATATTTCTCTTTTTTTTTTTTGCCAATTTTCTATTCTAAAGTTGGCCATTAATGCTATAGTGGTTAGTTTTCATCATTTTAAAATGTATTTTAAAATAGAATTTGGCTCAGTGTTGTAGGTGTTATAGCTGTTTGCTTTTTCTTGTATAAGTGGCACTGGGGAGTGAGTCCTGAAGACAAAACTGCTGACTATGAAGTTTCCTAAATAAAAGTGGAAGAAATATCCATGCAAGTAGATATGCAAATTAAGACACAGAAATCGAAGAAGCATGAAAACTCAAGGCAATGTCGTATTTCCAAAAGATTATAGCTCCTCAATCACTGAAACCAAAGATATTGAAATTCCAGACAATTCAAAGGTTCACTTTTAAAAATGATCAATAAATTCAAAACTGATAAAAATAAACAGATGAATGACCTAAAGAAAATCAATCCCTGGCCTCAATAAGGAAGTTTGCAATTCAGAAGAGAAAGTTAAGAATGTGAATGAGGAATTAAGTAAGGAATTGAGATTTTTTAAAGCAAACAAAGAAAATAAAAAGACAAAAGAAATGTTAGAAATAAAAAAATTCAGTAAATCAAACAGAAGTCACAGTGGAATGCATTACTAATACTCAAGATCAATCAAAACAAAGAATATCATGGGAGAAAGAAAGGGTTAAGAAATTACTATATTCAAAAAATCAGTTAAAAAAAAGAGTTGCAGTGACTTTCAAGAACTCTGAGGCATGAGAGAGACACCCAACTTAAAAGTTCATAGACTAGAATGAGCTGAGATTAAAATCAATGGCTGTGGAAAACATATTCAATGAAATTGTATCCCTCAAATTCCCCAAATCTAGAGCAAGAAATGGATGTCCAAGCACAACAGGCATTTAGAATCCCATACAGAGACATGGTTAGAAAAGAGTTGTCTACAACACATCACTAATAAAACGCCATGACTGCAGAACAAAGAAACAGTATTATAAGCAGCAGCACAAGATGTCCAACTCACAATGGCAAACCCATTAGAACAGCTAAATATCAGGAAAGAATTAAATGGTGCGTTCAAGCCCTGAAAATAAATAACTGCCAACCAAGATTATTATATTCTATAAGAGTTTAAAAATCAGTGTAAAGATAAAGACCTTCTAAGATAATAAAAATTAAATGTAATTCATGGCCACTAAGCTAGCATTGCAGAAAATATAAGATATATGAAGGAGTGCTGCACAGAGCACAAAGAAAGGCATTCCAAAGCACAGAGCTCAGGAAATAATGAACTGCAGGAACAAATGGATGAGCAAAGGCTGAAAAATCAATTTTCCAAACTCATTTAAACATCCAAACTCTAATGTGAGTAGGCAAGAAAGGAAAGAACAAACATATCATAATCAACCAAGAAACAGTCAATATAATTATAAGAATCAGCAAACCCTTATCAATAAAACCCCTAAATGTAAATAGTCTTAGTTTTCCGACTAAAAGATAGAAAAGGCTGTTTGGATTTAAAACAAACAAACAAACAAACAAACAAACAAACTCCAACTCCTTTTGGTTAACAGAAACAAACTTTACTGATAAAGACACACAGAAATGGAAGTTAAAAGGATGGAAACATCTACAAACATGTGCAATGAAAACTAACAGAAGTAGAAATTCTCATGCCTGATGAAGTGGACTTGAAGTCAATATGAGTCACAAGAAATGAAGAAGGTAACTACATAGTAG